AATTAAATTCAAGCAATTGCACTTAATTTGCCAAACAGCCCGAACAGGCGGCGGGCGATGGTAAATAAACAGGACGAGCGCCCAAAATACACACACACACACACACATATATATATATATATATAAAAGAAAAGATTTACGCAGTCGAGAGCGAGCGAGAAAAAAAAAGTGAAATTAAAAAGCAAGCAAGCGTAGGAATGGGGCGGGGGATGCGGGTGTATGGCCAAAGAGAAAGGCAAGCGAAAGAAGAAAAATTATGAGCACGCTGGAGAAATCTAAGATGCTAGCAGTAGCTGGGCGTGGCCGCCAGCGCCAGCCTTTTGAAGTAGGCGCACACACACACAGACAGACACGGAGACACACACATACAGAGACACACACACACACAGAGACACACTCCTAAGCATACACACACTCCAGACGCCCATAAATAAAGTATTTGATGTGCATGAAGTTAATGTCTTATTATACCCAAGTTGTCAAAAACAAGCAGAGTACCCCAAACACCCCAACCAGCTCAGAGCAGCCAAAGTAGTTAAACGCTGCCTGTTAAAGTCTGTTTAATGTGTGTGTGCGTGCGTGTGTGTGTGTGTGTAGGCGTGGACTTTATTAACTTGAGCTGAAGACGCGCTGTGGCAGTGCTCTGATTTGCCTAAAGAGCAGCCAGAGCAGCCAACGCAGCCTGCTTAATGATAACAAACTCAACACAAGTGATAACGCGTCAAATTACCAAAGGCGCACAAGTGTGCGTGTGTGTGCGTGTGTGTGTGTGAGGGTGTGTGGTAGCATATGCATGTGTATATCTGGTTTGTGGTGTGCAGCAGGCGTGGTTTGGTTAGCCACCCAGTGCCGTCGCGGGTGTTGTAAATACAATCAATGAATTTCAACTGGTTGTCTTAGCTTTGCATAACCCGAACCTCCTCTCCACACACACACACACACACATACCTTAGGCGTTACGTATGTGTGGGTGTGTGAAAACGAAATTAGGCAAATTTAATGAATTTATGCTGGTGGCGTCTCCTTTGTAATCCGAGTGCGCGCGCAGCAAAGTAAGTGACCTGCTTCCTTGTCTTTTAAGTGGCTTCACTTCTGGGCCTGAGCCGGTTGCCAGGAAATAGAATGTGAGTACGCTCTCGCTCTCTATCGGCCCTTCTCTATCTCCCTCCCTCTCTCTTTGTTTGCCTGTGCACTGAGTTTAGTGGACTAGCAGCAATTTGCTAACATTCGTTAGGCTATAAATGAGCTAGGGTGCTCCAAGTGTGTGAATGCGGCTGGTTAATGCCGCTCGGGGAGGTATTAACTGGAATAACATTTGCGGTCATAAGGATACGGCCTTTAAGCATGTCAATATATGATTTTATGACTACAAGTACAAACAGCTTCATACAATTCTAATTTATGGCTCTCATTCATTCTCATTTAAATTTTTATGATATTACAAGCATTTTCTACTTAGAATTTAAATAAAGAAAATATTTAAATCTGCTGATTATAGCTAACAAAAAATTAATATTTTTTGCAGTCAGCAATTCAAAAAGCAATTCCAAAAAGCAAATTGTTTTCTAGTCAGCTAATTTAAGAAATTACCCAACTGTCTGCTTACGTCTGCTTAAAGGATTTCAAGAAATAAAATAAAAGACTTTCCGATCTAGCACGAACGACATAAACGAAAGGAAATTCAAAATACTTTTCAAAGACATTCATAATTTTTAATTGCTGAACACTCTGCGGAACCAAAGGACACATAAATTTAAACAGTTACACGAGTTGCGCGACGTATGCTGATTCTTGTGACCATTTTATCGAGTCTCCGGATGCGCAGCAGAGTTGTGGGTCTATAACGATGCCACATGAGATACCAATCGTCCATATAGGGGAAGCTTGGATTGTCACCGAACAGTTTGACCAGAGCATCGACATACGCTGGGCCGTAATTCAATTTCCAGACCTTTAGATCGGCGTCATACTCCAGGTAGCGCAGTACGTAGAATATTATCCAATTGGTTATTGTCAGATACACTGGCATCACATACTTGTACACCAGCCAATAGCCGACGATAGGTGGATAGAATTTGGGCTGGAATCCTGCCGCCTCATAGAGTACATCCTGCCGATAGACGGTGCCATATAACAGAAAATATATCAGCAGTGTGATATGGATAATGACAAATGCTTTCAGAACATGTTGGCTACGCCAATGGGATAATTCGTGGGCAATATACGCCACGAGCTGATTGTTCTCCAAACCCTTGCCGACGTCCTCCTCTTGCAATTGGGCCACGGGCTTGCCATGGTTCAATAGCAGCGACTCCATTATGAACAGTCGCTTGTAGCAGCAGCAGCCCCAGGCATAGGCCGTTGGAGACATTTGCTGAAATGTTCTTAATATGTAAATATTTTCGGGCTTGAATCCAAACTGCTGCAGTATATCACTTAAGACATTTTGCAGATTTTCATCCACAGGCCCCTTGACCTTCGCGCCCAAGCATGGCAAGCCAAACAAACAGAACGAAAGTATCGCTATGCTCGATATAAGGATCAGAACACCCCATATCCAGAGCAAGAAGAAACGTGTACTAGTGGTTTCAATTACCAAAAAGATGGCTGTCAGTGGAACCAGACCCACCTGCAGCAGGACGACCAGCAGCGTAAATGAGCACAGTAAGCCCACCAGGGGCAGCGACTTCTCTCGATGGGGATCGTAGAAGGGTGTCAGGAACATTCTGCTGTAAAATATTTGCGGCAAGGTTCGTATGACCATATAGGTGCTGAACAGAGCCACAAATGCTATGCTCTGCCATATCAGATCATCCACAATGCTGTACGTCTTGATGACCAGGCGCCAAAGCACTGGAAAGACGGACAAGTACAGTTCGATGCAACTAAATATGGCGTCGAAGACGTACGCAACCATCATGTTCTCCACAGCATGCATCTCCTCATTTTTGGCCGTTTTGAACTGCTCCATTGACATGACCCTTTCCAGCTCTGGTGGCGGCTCTGTGCGGATGGTGCACTTGCGTATTTGACGCCAGCACAAATAAAAGTGGAATAGGTTGCGCAGCGTGATCATCGTTGCGAGGACGTGCCGCAGCAGGGCCGGATCCTTCAAGGTCCAGGAATCAGGCTTCCAAGTATTTCCTATCCCATTTTCCGGTATAACCATCGGCTGGCTTTGCATTGGATCTTGGTACAGAGCGTACGACATGATCACAAATTATACTTTTGAACATCGGAAAACGGGACGACTGAATTTTCCCAAAAAAGTTTGTTACACTCGCTTCATCAGTTTGACAATTTACTGAAATGTGCTCAAATTTGTTTTCAGATCGTGTGAGTTTGTAAGGATTTAAAAACGAGTTCGCATAAAAAATGGTCTCTTCAAAGTAATCCCCTTTAGATATTATACATGTGTGCCCAGATTTCTCCAGATCTTAGAAGCGCTCCAAAAAGTTGTATATTTCCGCCTTCTTTGTAATATTTGGTTTATCCTATTCGTGTATTATATTATTAGTGTAAAATATTACACTCCAAATCATTTTGGGAATACATAAAAACCTTCTTCAATGTGCGAGCCGGAAACATATTCGCCACACCTCGGTCTAAGTCTAACAGAGAAACTTATTTCATTTATTGTTCAAAAAGGCCCGACCCAACCTCAACCTATCCACCCGCCCACGTTATCAGCCAACGCCCGAAAAGGAAACTTGTCATAAGAATTTTGAGCGACAGGCGATAAATTCCAAAATATCCCCCACCCTGCGAGCCACTCCCACTCCATCCTGTCGCAAGTGGCTTCATTGCGTCTAAATGTGGTGTAAGACACGGCTGTCACTGTCCAGCATCGCAAGTCGGCATAAGTTCCTTATCTGGCCAATGGGCCTTCCTAGACCCCACCACTTCGACTGACAGTTTCTCAATGCTATTACACTTAATGATGTCGACTTTTCCCTTAAGTTGCGGAATTTTCCTTTAAACTTTAATTGAAAATTGCGTGCCTTGGTCCGGCCGTAAGTAGGTTTACACATATTTATTTTCCAAAATAACATTAAATTGAATGGGAGAAATACTCTCCTTGTACATACAATGCGTAATTCTTTCCTTATCTCTTTTACTTGTATTATGTGTAATTCATTTTAGTTATTGGTTGTGCCATAAAAGGTATCCAAAAGTAAATTTAAGAATAGGAGCCTCTTGCTCCGTGTCATCATCATATTCATCATAAGGGGGAACGACGGGAATGATCCTTAGCTCTCGTCCTTTGCCTTACACACGACGCGCTTCGTTTTAGTATTAGTTTTTCTTTTTGTTTAATAAGTGATATATTGAATTAAATTAAAATTTTTTATCACATCATATTTTTAAAAATGGTTTTGCAATTTCGTAAATAGTGTTCTTGTGTTTTGGGAGATTGTTACTCTTAGTGGGGCTGAAGCGTCAAATAATTTACAAGTTGCTAACATAAAATGCTATGTTGTAATTTGCTGTTGTGGTTATGAGTTACATGAATACACAAACATCTAACCCCTCTACGTCGTGGGTTATCCGCTGTTTTTCCACAAAATCTAATCAAAGTTTGGGGGAGTTGTACGAAAACTTAATTTGTAGCTATTACTTAAATTAAACTTAAGTTCTAGGGGCTACTGCTTCTCATTTGCTATTCAAATCAACTGATGCTAAATATTAGATAGTTGCTGTGTTTAGCTTAATCGAAGCGCGTGTGTCGGCCTCCGCCGTCTCCGCCATTCCTGTTGCCAAAGCCTCCGTCACCGCCACCGCCGCCACCAAAGCCACGACCATTGCTAATGCTTCCCTTCTTGAATCCGCCACCACCAAAACGGCCGCCGCCGCCACCGCCACCATAACGGGAGCGTCCGCCGCCACCGTCGTAACGCGAGTTGCGGGCCATATTCTCTAGAGCGGGATTTATTTCCTGTAAGGTAACGTAAATATTAATTTACATATTGCTATATTTAAAATGTCAATATAAACACATACTTGATTAGCTTCTCTCAGTACATCGACTAACGCCTTGGCCTGTTTGGCATTGTTTTTCGTGAAGAAGGCAAAGGACGTGCCCTTGGTATTAGAACGTCCTGTGCGTCCGATACGATGAATATAATCCTCACTGTTTTGTGGATAGTCAAAGTTGATGACATATTTGATGCCATCGACGTCTGTATTTGCGTATATAATATGTGAGAAATAGATGAATGCATATATATAGATTAGTATTTATAGGACATAGAGCAGTCAACTTCAAGGTTTATCTTAAAAACAGTTTTTCAAATTGCCAAATGGATTTTTCTCTTTGCTCTGTGCAACAATTTTTAGCGTTTTTCGAGACGTTTTACACTTTGAATACACTTCTCTTTTTTTATTCGCTTTTCGAGTAAAGTTTTTTTTGGGTATATATTCTGTTTGTTTTAAGTTTTCATTTGAGTTTAACTTTTATATTTTTTAGGTATTGCTTTTTTGGTTTTTGTTTACGAAAAAAGAAAATGTTTCAAAATGTACGTTACCTTCTTGGTGCTACAAATTGTTTCATTCAATTTTCTCTCAATCAAAATCTCAAAGTTTTGTGGCGCTGCGCAGCTCGTGGTCCAAACTCTCTCCAAACACACAAAAATTAAAGGTCGCATGGCGAAGCGAGCGGCGAGAGTTTGTTGCAATGAGCCGCGTGCACCTCATCTGACTCGACACGACTTAGACTTGGGGGGTCGGGCTGGCGAGCGAGTGTGCCAGGCCAACCGGCAACCGGCAGCCGCATCCTTCTCCTCCATATTTATAGAAGAGAGGCGCGTCTGTGTATATTTATCTATTCAGTATACAGTTTTTATGTCGACCAGGGAGAACGTTTTAACAAGCGCCGGTGTCCAGGATCCGTTGCCACCCACTAGACGACGGGCAATGGCGGCGCAGGCAGACAGGTAGGCAGGCAGTGGGCGTGGCGACCCATTTGGTAGCTAGGCACTCAGCAGCAGCAGCAGCAGCACCAGTAGCGACGATCGAAACGGCGAACAAGCGACGATCACACAGCTCTCCATAACGGCTGATCTCGATGTGCGACTCGCACTTCTTCGTCCATACATATCCACAGCGTGCTCTCTGATGCTTTGTAGAGTGGAGTGGAGAGGCAATGTGTGTGGGCCTCGTGTGTTCGTGTGTGTCTGTGCAAATGTGTGCGCCGCGCATGGTGCATCGTCCTCTTTTTGGGGCCGAGTTTATGGTACATTCGTTCTGTGTTGCTGTCGCTGCCTGGCTGATGTTTGTGGTGTGTGCTTAGCAACCGGCCGACCGACGACATCAGCGCCTCAAGATGTTTTTGCCTGCTTTGTAGCGCCGCCTTCTCATTTACTTTAATTATTAATTTATTTTTCTTTTTTTTGGTGACAACAAGATGTGCCCCTTGACCGTTTGCTTGTTGATTTGGTTCGTTCTTGGTTTGGTATGATTGGTTGGTTGGTTGGTTGTTAGGTTGGCTCAACGCTCTTTCTCGAGGAGAGGACTGCAGAGGCCACGTATGATGCATGATGTTGGGGATATATGAATGCCGGTCTCGTATGCGAATGCGTTTACATTGATCGCGCGTCCGTGTGGCAGCCAAGCGAACACGACTCGATCAGGTGAACTTTATCTGTTACCTTTTGCTCATTGTTTAAACAAAAAAACTTGTCAAATTCAGTTTTTGATGAACAAAAGTCGCTCGCTCATGTTACGAGAACTGGGATTGGGACTTGCCGCTTGTCCTTTATCCTCCCCATCATACTACAATAAACGGCCTCTGTAAACGAGAAAGAAGGAAGAGAGAGAAAGAGACAAAGAAAGAGAGGCAGAGAGAGACATGCACACAGACATTGCGTGTGCATAGCACAAGGCACGTATTAACCATTCACGAGTCGAGGGTTGGCATCAAAACAGAGCCGAGGAACGGGTGCAAGGGTTGGGTCGGGACGGGGTGTGGAATAAAAAATGTATGTTGATTATTAATGTTTCGGCTTTGATCGGGGCTTACGACTAAAAACTGTTGGTATTTATAAATATATTTAAAAACAAACAAAAAAATCTGAATTCGCGTTCGCTAATTTGTTCTTGTCTTCAAGTCTAAATGCAGTTGATGAGGGGGCGGGAATTTTCAAGTTGCTTGGATAGGCAATATCTAGTGAAGGCTACAGTGAAAGCTCTATTGACGAAAGGCTAAATGACGAAACCGTTTTATTTTTCCCGTTTAAGAAAAAAACAACTTTATTACATTCCAAGCTATATCCGTTAAAGCGAGCTTTCACTGTGCGAATGTTTTACGTGCGTGTTAAGCAATTGTGTAATCGTGTTCGAGTGTGTGAGTGTGTGTATCTTTTGGCAGCCGGCGGATACTCTACTAATTATGTAATTCTGTCGTGCTTTGCTAAAAACTTACCCAAGCCACGGGCCGCCACATCGGTGGCCACCAGAATGTTGGACTTGCCCGAGCGGAACTCGCGCAGAACAAAGTCACGCTCCGACTGCGACTTGTCGCCGTGGATAGCGCCACAGCGCACGCCAAAGCTGCGTATGAAACGCACAAGATTATCCACACGACGCTTGGTCTCCACAAAGATAATTATCTTGCCGGGGTTCTCGCTGGTGTCATATATGTCGGACAGTAGGCTCTTGAGTCTAGATTAAAATATAGGGGGAAATAAGTATAAGGAAGGCTGAGATTGAAACGTTTAGCATACTTGTCTTCCTTGCTGAATTCGTCGCAAACATCTACCACTTGGCGAATGTTGTGGTTGGCCGATAGCTCCAGGGAACCAATATTGATTTGTATGTAGTTGCCGAGGAAGTCTTCCGCCAACTGTTTCACCTCTTTGGGCCAGGTGGCGCTCCACATGAGTGTTTGGCGGTCCGGACGAATCTGTGAGACAATCTTGCGAATCTGGGGTTCGAAGCCCATGTCCAACATGCGATCGGCTTCGTCCAGCACCAAGTAGGTGCAACGCTTCAGATTGGTAGCGCCAGCCGAGAGGAAATCAATGAGGCGACCGGGTGTAGCAATGACGATCTCACAACCACGCTGGAGATCACGCATTTGGCCTCCCTTCGGTGCGCCGCCAAAGACGCATGTGTTGCGCACATAGGAGGACGAACCGAACTCGGTGGCCACCTGCTGAATCTGTTGAGCCAGCTCACGGGTAGGTGCCAGCACCAAGGCAATGGGACCATCACCGCGCTGCAGTGGCTGCTGGTTGTTGATGTGTACAATGGCTGGTAGAATGTAGCCGAGCGTCTTGCCCGAGCCTGTCTTGGCAATGCCCACAAAGTTAGCGCCGCTCATTGCAATCGGCCAGCCCTGGGCCTGAATTGGTGTGGGCGCTTTGTAGCCCTGGCGGCGAATCTCTTTCAAAACATAGTCGGGCAAATAGGCCTCCGAGAAGTCCTGTATGGGGTTGGCTGCCTGACCGCGAACTGTGATCTCTTGCTCATCGCGATATCGCTGCACCTCATAGGGCGACCGATTGGCCACCGTGGGATGCTCCTGATAGAAGTTCTTCTTGAACGGTGTCAAATTGGAGAAATCCACTGGGCGCATGGGCAAGTCTTGGCTGCCACCACCGCGACGATCACCGCCGAAGCCGCCGCCCCCACCTCCGCCGCCAAAACGCGATCCGCCGCCTCTATCATCACGACGCTTCTCAATGCGACCATTGCGCACGCCGTGATAGTCGCCGCCGCCACCACCAAAACGTGATGCACCACCGCCACGTCGGTCTTCATCGCGGTCGCGTCCGCCACGTGGTCCGGATCCAAAATCGCGGTCGTGAGGTGCCCTATTGAACGAAAAAGTCATTGTGTTAAAATGAAAAAAGTTATTGAATTTAAAATGCTAAAGACGCAATTAATTGAATTGAACAACTTAAAATTTTATCAATTCGTAACCGATTTTTGTATTTTTGGAAATTTGTTCAAATGTATTCATATTTATTTCTCTTTAAAATTTTAATTCACTATTTTCTGTTTTAAACGAGTGTAAAATGTGACTTCAGACAAATTGTCATTGCGGCTCACTTTGATCGCATGCTGTTTGCCCGCCGTCCGATTTTTGACTGGCTGGCAACGCTAACAATTTGACAGATTTGACGTGAGCGCACGAGTGAGACAGCAATACAACCGCAATAAACTTAAATAAAACTAATTGCGTGTTAAGGAAATTAAATAAATTTCGTATAAAATGCAAACAGTAAGGCAAATTTGATTGACGACAACATGCAATTCCAACATATCTAAGAGACACACACACACACACAAACACATACATACATGTGTATGCATATCTACAAACAATCGCCCTTCAATTGCTCAACTAAACAACTCGGCACCTGGCAGCGGCAGCCAAAACACAAATGTTACAGTTCTGACATTAATCAATTATACACACACAGACACATGTTAAACATATCGGTTTATTCGTTAGTAATGTGCAGCCCATAAAACATCTGCTCCTTTCCCCTTTGCACACAACCAAATGTCAGTCAATTTGGGCCGCTCCGCCCTTTGCTTTTTCTAGGCACGCTAACTTGGCCAACTGACAGAAAAGAACGCTGAACATTTATTAGACAGCAAATGTCTTGCCTAGTCCCCCCCTCCTCTCACACGCTCTTTCACATCGTCTTGCGCTCTACCTGTCGCGCTTTGACATGCGAAAAGGCAAATCGTGCACGCAGACAGTCGGGCAGGCGAGCCGAAGAGCAGACTCTCATAATCAATTGGCGTCATTTGACATTTTAAACTAACAAACTGGTATGGGAAGACAGAGACGGCGAATATACCTAGGCAGTGGTATCAGTTTTGACAGACGACGATAAAAAAATATCATGAGCACGCAAACTGTACTACGACTGTTATACACCAGCAAAACACGCGAATAATACCGCCAATGCCTACACAAGCACAATCGCACACACACTCAACCACGTTGTGTCTGCGTGCTCGTGTTTGTGTTTAGGGCATACAGACAAATTAAAATGCTATAAAAAAGCAAACGAAGTAAAGACACGTTTCACAAATCAAGCCAATTCTTTTTATGACGTACACTGACGTTTCCCCCCTCTTCTCTTTTTTTGTGGTTTGCTCTCATTATTTATTAGTTGTTGCTTGTGGGCAAAAAAAAAATATATATATAAAACAAAATACAAATATAAAGAAAAAAAAATGAATAACTTGACTGCCTCTTGCTGTTTGCTTTCTCTTCGTCATTTTTAACTCTACATTAATTACTCATCGTTGAGTTTCAACGTATACAGACTTTTACGAACGTTAGCGCAAAGCGTGGGCAAGAAAATGGCGACGGAAAAAACCAACAAACACACAAACATATGCTCATCATACATATACTATACATACACACACTTTAAAGACCCATCAATTTTTCTTAACTAGAAGTTAAATATTTTATATTTCGTATTACTTACATTATTCCTTCAATTTTGATTTCCTCTGATTGCTCGTCTGGATCAATAAAAAGTGATTTCCTCGTACGTCTGGACAAATCAGTAGTTGGCTTGTCTGCTGGGAGTGCTTCGTCGACTGATCTGGATGTTTCGTATCGAATTGACGATATATGAAACGCACGCTGTGCCTGCTGGGAGCAACTAAATAATACTCTAGATATGGGTACTGTTGACTCCTGGCTGGACGGGCTCCCTTGGAACTGCTGTGGGTGTTCTCTGCAGAGCAAAGCACGACTGCTGCTGGTTGTTCTGTTGGTCGAACAAAAAAGAAAATGGCGGCGTTGCGTTATACATTTTTCCACGCTCTGTGGTGAAATCAATAAATTGCGCCAACTGCAGACGGGAAACACTGCAGATTCGCACGATTTACGAGATACATATTGCACTAATTTTAACATATTTTACTAAGTTTCCAAATCTATATATTTAATACTATTATTTTTCACTTATTATGCATCTAACTCGTGCAAGCAGATGCGCGCGTGTTCTTACCTAACCTCGTCCAAAATGGAAATGAAAGACGATGATTTCTTGCTTGCGATATTGAAGCAACTAACTATCGACGGGCAACAAACTGGCTCACGAACGTGGGTTGCTACCGCGCAATCGATATTTCCGTCGATTATTGCGCGCGCCAAACAATATAACATGTGCTATTTTCCATGTAATTAAATTCATTATGCAACTATAAAAGATAAGTACTTTAAGTTTAGTTTAATTTTTTTTTTTTGTTAATTATATTTAGTAATTTAATGTTATAATAAAGTTTATATATGTATTGGAATGCAACTCAAAGGCTACTAAGATAAAGCGCCATCTATTTAGTTTTGCGAAACCATTAAACAGTACGGCAACGACATGGACTTGCAGCTACTTGAAAATTGTAAAAGGCGCGCCATTCTGTGTATATTTATATTTGAAATTCAATGTGATTCGAATAACAAAAAGTTTAAGATCTACAAGCTAAACTCATTTCAACCTGACCGCTGCTGACAGCCGAATAAATTATCTTCAAATTCGCATGAGCAACTGTTCGTGTCACCAGCTAATCTATGAATTCTTACGATATAAATAAATATATAAAAATTTGTTAGTACATTAAATTTTCGAACTTATTCAAACCACATAGAATATTTACATGTATTAAGGTAATATTTGTTTAATAGAAAATCGTATATGGTATATCCATCTGTTAAGGGGTAACTCTTTGGCTATTACTCTAGAGTTGATTGATTACCTTTGATTGATCAAATTTGAGCAAAAGGACTGCCCATCGCTCAAATGACCGGCTCGACTTGGCAATGCTTCAGGCGTACTGTGCAATTTTGAAATACTCGGTTTAACATTTACGGTGTGAATACAGCAATGTCGTCTGGAATATTGGCCTCGAGTTCTACTAAAGTCGCGGGCTCTTTAGCGGAAGCCTGTTATTGCGTCATCACGACTCTCTGTCGACACCTAATTCCGCTCACAGACAGCGAATTGACTTGTCTGGGTATTCTTTAATGCTGATTGCTACAGTGGCTATATTTTCCTTATTTTGTACTAATCTCCATCTGGTTGCTCGCTTGATATCCAATACGGTGTGCTCCTGTTCAAATCTGTACATTAGACGTTTGCGCTGTGAAGCCATCGTGACGTCCGAGTTCACGTCGAAAATCTCATAGCGCAGTAACAAATGAGCAAGAATTTCTGCACAATTTTTTTTTTTAATAATTTCCACATGTTCGGTTGGAGCTAGACAACTGGACGACTGGGCAAATCATGGTGACTGAAATATATGTAGTTATCCGAAATAGTATCATTTTTATTGGGACATTCTAGCTGTTGTGTATTGGCCAGAATTGTCAACTTCACATTTCGTATCGAGTTAATGTATGAAACTTACGGATTTGCTGCTGGGCATAACTAAATATTAGAATATGTAGTCGTGGATACTGCCGACTCATGGTTCGACTGGATGCTTTCAATTATTTAAAATAAGTGTACATAGTCTTTCGCAGCGAAGGAAAACTAAATATCAAGTGTTCGATAGGTAATTAACTCTAAACGATTATTTCTAAAATCGATATATTTTGGGCTTCACATTCGCCGCGAAACACAAACACATTTGGTGATAAATATATCACTGTAATACTATTTCAATAATACCAATATATTTTTATGGTTAAATTTGCTTTTTGTTGTTTATTTAAAACTAAAATTTAACTGGCCACGTGTCCAACTTAAACAGCACAAAATAGAAAGCGCCATCTATTGGATGTTGTAAAACTCAAGCAATTCAGTGACAGTTATTTTAAATAATAAGAGAGCGCGCTAAATCGTGATATAATTTATTAAATAAGTAAATCAATGTGATTCAAATAACAATAAATAGTACAACGCTTACAAACCTAACAAATGACAAAAGCTTTTATACATTTTGGCACGTCGACCCTTCAAGCAGCCGTACAAATCGTTTATCTTCAAGCAGTCAATTTTACTGATCGTCTTCCGCTGTCCAATTCTCACGCCCGGCTGCAGCGGCGTCATCGTAGGCTTCTCTCCTTTCTTTTTGCTGAAATAGTACTCGCCGTAGTGCATCACCGAGTTGTAGTCGTAGTCGAAAGCATATTTGCCCCGCTTGCGCGAGACAAGTTTGAAATTCTTCTTGAACCGCGGCACAATGTTGTCCCAGTGAATCTTGACGAAGTTGTCCCGATCAGCGCGGGACTGTTCATGATAGATTCCAATGGCGTGCATGAGCTCATGCATGATACGACCTTCGCTGCTGAAGCAGTGGGCGCTTGTCTCATCGGGCTGCTGCAGGGCGACCACCTGCTCCCCGCCCCGCTTGCCGACATACGACCAGCAACCCTGCGGCCCATCCTCGGGTGGCTCAATAAGCAGATAATCCTCCACCTCGCCATCGTATGGCGTAAACCGGATGCAGGTGAGCGAATTAAATGTCTTCAGAGCCCTCACTATCAAATTGCGCTCTCTGTTGTCATACCGCGGACTTATCTCAAAAGGTATCGTGCCATTGGGCCACAAACGCTTGGGATGCCGCATGGGATTCACGCCCAGACGCAGCGTGATGTACGTATACGGATCTATGGCAATGTCGCCTTGAAACAAGCGCGGCATTGTCTCCGGATCATCAATGCCCAGATCATCGTTGCCAATATCCGGACCAAATGGATCAAAATCATCTGAAGGAGAGGGCGAGAGAGAGGTAGAGGCTGGGTATGTGAAACAGCTGGAATTGATACACTAGACGCACCTGCCGACACGCTGGTGAACTCATGCTCAAACAAATCCACACCAGCTGGATAAGGTTGGAGAAGCTGCTGCTGGTTAACGCTTTCTCTGCCCGGCGCCGCAGTCGAGGCGGGCGACAGCCGCAACAGCAGCAGCAACAGCAGCGGCAGCGATGGCCAAACTAAGTCTTCACACATTATAAATAAGCTTTGATATCCACTTTGTTATAAATATTTGCTTTTGTTTTTGTTTGCCTTCGCTTAGTGAGACGCCATACGAGTGGCCCACGCTCCAAGCCGAACCGAACCGTTCCACAGAAAGACGCCAACTAAACTGGCCAACGGCTATCGCAGCCATTGAGCCACTCGACTTGTATTTAATTTATGCAGAATGTGCGAAAATACAAACTAAATAATGTTGAGCATCCGGCGTCGACGTCGACGTCCGCGTCGTCGTCCAAATTCAAAAATCTATCAGCTGATATATGAGCGCGTCCAATGTGGATTGCAGGTGGCTCAGCGGCTCACCTGTCCGATCGACTGGACGACTCTTGTAATTTAATGCCGCAATGGGAAAGAGGTGCTGATGGGCAAGTGAATGGCCTACGTTTCCATTATACTCTACAAATTGTGGATGTTAAACTAAAATGAGTGGGTTTGTGTATCCATATATAATACAATATATCATGTTTTATCTAAATTGTTGGTTTTTATAGTAATTGCATTGCATTAATGGGGCGAATTGAATTGCTAACTGGTCCAATACACTTTCCTTTTGGGCATGACACTTATTTGGGCGTGTTTGCTCATGTGGAGAGAAGGGCGTGAATCTAGAGCAATCGTTGAACTGTAAAATGCACTTTCTCTTGTTTATAATATCAATGTTTTGTACTTATATTTTTTTTAGAGTGTATTCAGATATTCAGTATTATTGAACGTAACTGATACGAACGTAACTGATACGATTTTGCTGCCCTACTCATTTGACGTCATTTCGATTTATCGCATTTTCGATATGAGCTACGATTTACTCTTTGCAGAAATTCCTCAGAGTTAGATAATTTTATTTTTATTATATTTTGTTCTGTTTTTTTTTTTTTTTATTATTTTTTTTTTTTTTATTTTGATAAATTTTAAAATAATAGAAAGTATGTTAAGACTCAGTCCTTTTAACTTGATGGAATTTTCATTGGCAAAGCTCAAATTTTATAAATTAGAAGAAATTAATTTTTTTCTCTTAAAAAATAGAAAAAATTTATTCTGGAAATATTATTCGATTTATTTTATTTTTACTTTTATTTTTGATTTATTTATAATTAGTTTATTTATTTTCCGGTGGTCCTATCCACGCTTTCTTCTCTCTGTTCATACACTTCCATTTCTTCTGCAACATACAACAAGCTTACACTTCTCAAATATTCTGAATTAATACATATTGAAAACGAACTCATATGGCATTTACTGCAGGTATAAATCTATAAATTATCTATCTAATTTTTACACTTCCTCTTTGTACATATACAAATTTCCAGAGTCTTTGTATAATCAAATAGAAAAACAATAAAAATGTAAGTTTTGACTCGAAACCAGATCTAAAACGTAGCTTTCTATTCGTGAGTGTATTACATTAGTCTTCTATGATTGATGTCAATTTACTTGGCTGTTGTTGTTGCTTTTTTTGTTGTTTGTTGTCGCTGGTCAGGTTTACGTCTTAATGTTATAAATAAACAAATTTCGCAAAATTGATTTCGACGTCCGGAGGCCCGGCACGCTGCATTTCGTAAACGTTTTCGGTTGTTGTGTTAGTTGTCTGTTTGCTATCCAAAAGTTGTTGTTGTCTGTTGTTGTTGTTGGTTTTGTGGTTGTTGCTTATGTGACACCAAAGAGCAACATTTGGGCCAGCACTTAAACTTAGCTGCCCCGGGGTCAGTTCATTTCAGTTGTAGATCAAAAGATATGTGAATGATATACATATGTATATATAAACATTTCTTACTATATACTCTGTGCATGTGTGCGTGTGTGTATATATACCGTATTGGTAGCCTTAGACTAATCTGTATGCTGGTGTCTATCTACATCTTGGGGCTTTAATTGTTTTCATAGCAGCACTTGGCAATGCATTTTAATCGCTCAGCATTAATTAGGACTTACAACTTAATTAGCAAGACAGCAATAGCAGCCACAGCAGCAGCAGCAGCAGCAACAACAACAACAAGTTCATCATGATAATTTTGAAATTTAAATTCATTTATGATATGTGAGTGGAAAGGTGTGAACTGTGAATTGGTGAATGAATAAATCATTTTACATTTCAATTAGTTTCGAACATCCAATTACGTAAAATTGTCATAGATATCGATGGATCTAACTACAAAGTTCAGGTAGCTAATAAATTGTCTGGCTATGCATTTCATCATGCTATCTGACTTATGTGAGGTATACAGAAATGTAAGCTGCATTATTCTTTTCCAACAATTCTAGACGAATTATTTTGTATAGTCTTTTAGATAATTGCTTAATTATATAAGTTAAACTTATATTCGTACAGGGTATATCGTAGTCCATAGTTTTAGACAGTAGTAGCGAAAGCATATAGAATATATGGCATTTTCTTATAACTATAATGTCTTTCGAATTGTCCAAAAGAATTGATCAATTTTGACTGAATCACTTAAGTCTTGGATGTGGATAATAATTATCTTCTAAATGTACCCTAAACTTTAGTCACTCAGAATATGCTTTATAACGTTTATCTCCATTACTCTGTACTGGATCAATGGGGTGGATAGTTGATAAATACTTTCTAAATGCCTAATCTCTATGAAGAGATTGTTCAATTCTTCTTTATATGATATCATATGCGATTATATTCAATTAGACTTTATTTTTATTTATTTATGATTATACCTGTTTATGCTTACTGACTACAGGGTATATATTCAATTAGACTTTATTTTTATTTATATATGATTATACCTGTTTATGCATACTGACTACAGGGTATATTATATTCGATCACAACCAATCATAAGACTTTATGTTTCACATTAAAACTAGAGTTTCGTATAACCCACAGACTCTGTAAGTAGCATCTTGTTATATTTCTAAACAAAGCAATTTTCCCCAGCTTGTTCGCTATCAGTTTTTGTGACCTCTTGACCTGTAGTTAACCGCTGCTGACCTGGCAAACACTTCTAAAGCTTGGAGTCAAATTTCAAGCATACTTCTTCCACTCTATTTCTGCGTTTTATGCGCTCGCCTCGCTGTTCTACTCCTCCTCCTCTTGCTCGAAAGTGTTTACTGTTGCTATTGCTTATAGTGGGGGCGGCAGCGAGTGGGCGGGCCATTGGCATTAAAACGCAAGACAAAGCAAACGCAAGACTAATTCAAAGTTGTCACGTAATAAAACATCGAAAGCAAACGAACGAAAGAAACAAAAAATATGCTGTAAGCGAGAAACAATCGCTTCACAAATAATAAAAATCAAATAAATTTGCATTTTTATTTCGTTTGTTACTGTTGGTTTTTTTTTTTTTTTTTTTTTTTTGCTGTCTGTCTTTATCAAAGCAACAACAAGAAATTGAACAATGTACAAAACGTTATTTGATTTGATTACATAATGACGTCACATACACACACACATACGTATAGATATACCAAGTATTGCCCCTCCGCTCGCACCCCTTTATCCTCTCTGACTTGCTTGCTTTTGCTGCCTCTCTGTCTGGCATTTTGCCTTTGTTTTTTTTGCAACACAATGGGCATGATAATTTAATAAGTAACTATGTGATAGATGTAATATGTATGTATGCATATAATATACATATATACTTGTTTAGCACTCATAACTCACTCGTAACAAATAACTTTTGCTTTTAGTTAACTACAATTAATATATATATATATATTTTTTTTGCCACTTTTTATTTAGGAATCATGTAAACTCCCGTTGCTTGATGTATGCCAGGGTATTTCAGGCTTAACTGTTATTTCCTCTTTTGCAGTGTTGCTTTGCATTTTTATTGTGTGTTTGGGCTTTGTTTTGCTTTGTCAAATTTGGCTTTGACACCCGAGTGCGATATCTTCAATTATGTGTCGAATGGAATTAATTGAATTACATTAAAACGGTTCATGATTTGTTGCTGAACTGATAAGACGGACCCCCCTCTTGGCTGTTAGCGTTAGCTGCATTAATCTGCATAATTCAAAGATAATATTTTGCATTTCAATCGTGATTCTCTTTGATGTATTCACAGCTCAAATATGCTGCCCTTTTGTTGAGCTGTGAAAAAAATGGGATGGGCGGGGCTGTGGGCTGGGGGATGCATTGTAAGGGATTTTGCGTATTAATTATAACGCCAGTTGAATGAAACTTTTATTCCTTTTATGCTTAATAAAGCGAAAGCGCAAAGTTTTCTATGTTGTTATAGAGCATTCCATGCTCCGCACAAACCGTAAAGAGCATTGCAAGTGTGGGGCTGTGGGCGTGGTTGGCGTGCTTAGCGTAGGGGGCATCCACAACTTTTAATGCCGCTAATGTCGATTTTTAGTTACAGAGCGCATAGGAAGCTTACAAAGAATTACATGAGTGTGCTTGCTGCTTAAGCTGCATTCGCCCAAGACGGCTTAAATATACTTATAGATTTTGGCCAAAGAGAAAAAGTTCTAGGCCAACTTTCTATGTCTATGACAGCGAGCCATCGACCCTCTCGCCTCACATTGAAAACAATATTATTTTAGGTATTCTTCTTTCGCGAGGCATCATCGCATTAATAATTCAATTAATATATTTTGTTTCCTTCTGGTCTGTGAGGAGTTTTATTAAATGGGTATGTCCATTAAAATTTCATCACATTTCATTTTCAGCTTAGTTCAACTAAATATTGCATATTTTCTATTTATTTTTGAAAACTTTCATTTGTACGCATTAAACATACATACGTACATATATAGAGAAGTATGTAAATGTGTGTTTCTAAATTCATTTGAGCATTTAGCATTTTGATTTTACTCGAGTTGCTTTGCCATTTCAAAGGGTTTCCTCATAAAGCATTCTGCAAACATTGAAAACTAACAAAAATCTCTATCTCAAGCTAAACTGAAATTAAAAATTTATTTCTGTATATCGATGTATGTATGTATGAATGTGTGTATGTTTATATGTTATTTGCGGTGTGCACTGTAAGTATACAACTTTCTGTACCTTAAAACTTTATATAATCGAACTTTTATGTTGCGAGATATGATTTCGTGTATAATGAAATATTTTGGAAAATTTTCAAGTATATAGAAATAATACTAAAATAGTAATATTTTAACATCATTATTTTGAGTGTTTAAATATCGGAGCTTGTTTGAATGGTGTATGGGAGGATAGGAAGATATGTCGACTTATATTCTTTGGAATTAATTTTCTTAATTTTTACTTGAATTTCGTTACAGATATTTATTTTTATTATTACATGGTAAAAAAAAAGCTCATATCTAAGCTAGCGGCTGTTTCTTCTTTTTTTTTT